GGTAATTTTACATCTATAAGCCAAATTTGCCAAACACTAAAAACCAACTTATCAACTTATTGCTTTTTGGTACCGTTATAAGCTAATCCAAACACTTTTTACAAAACTCCARTTTGATACCACATAAGTTAATAAGCACTTTTACAAAAAAACATAAGTTGTTTTAAATAAGCAATCCCAAACACCCCCTCAAAGTTGAAAATTTGTTGGAATTGAATGTCATTTTTTCGGAAATTTTGATTCTACGTCTTGGATAACTGTTGCAGATGCTTTGATGTCACCAAGCTTGATAGACAGACAGTCCGTAGTCGACTGACAAAAACTCCATAGTTGAACCAAACACTTGTACGTGGACCGGTTGAATTGGTTTTTTTAACCAATAAATACTACCCTGCTGCCTAACTTTTAAAAATTATGGGTGTTGCTATACACATCCTTATTTGTATCAAAATCAAATTAAATCATGAATTGACAATGTAAAAAAGTTGTTAGAGCATCTCCAACAACTATGTTATTTTAGAACTTTTGGAGAAGTGTACATATAGCAACACCCTTAACTAAATGACATTTTTATCTTTAATAATAGAGAGAACAATTTCTCCATCTCATAATTAGGGGTAGAATGAGAATATTGACATTACTTTTGAAAGTTGGCACTTATTTTAAAACAAACTAAAATAAAAATATACACTTATTTTGAGACGAAAGTAAAAATTTCACAATTATAAGTTTTAAAACATGAATAGTTTTTTGAGATGTTACAGGTTTTATAATGCTATTTTTTTAAACATGCGTCTACTTTTTGTCGGAAATTTTAAAATATAATTTCTCGATAAAGATAACTTTAAGAAATCGATAAATATTTGTGATTATAATTTATAATGGGAAAAGTTTAAAAAAACCCAATGGACTTTAGTGTTTGAAATGATTAAGTCTTTGGACAATTTTTTGGAACAAATAAGTCCCTAGACATTCCAAAACATGTTAAATAACTTCTTGGACAATTTTTTGGAACAAATAAGTCATTGGACAATTTAAAACATGTTAAATAACTCATTGGACAATTTTTTGGAACAAATGAGTTCTTGGACAATCCAAAACATGCTAAATAACTTTTTGGACTTTTCTAAAACTTGTTGGATACATTCTTATGACTTGTACAACTAGTTAATGTGGTAAAATAGTGAAAAAAAATTCCAAAAAAAAACCCAATGAACATTCATATTTTGAACGATTAAGTCATTAAACATTTTTTGAACCAAAAAGTATTTAAATCTATAAATTTAAACAAATATAACAAAAAAGTACTTACATTTACAAAAAAAAAATAATTACATTTAAAAAAGATTTTTGATAAAATTTATTTTAATTAAAAATAAAAATGTATTATTTTTGATTAAAATAAATTTCACCAGTAATCTTTTTAAATCTCTTTTTTCAATTTAAAAAATCATGATATATTTATTTTTAATTAAAATAAATTTAATAATAATTTTTTTTAATTTTTTTTAGTTTGAAAAATCACTGACATAATATATTTTAATTTTAATTAAAATAAATTTTATCAAAAATCTTTTTTAAATGTAATCATTTTTTTGTTATATTTGTTTAATTTTATAGATTTAAATACTTTTTGGTTCAAAAAATATTTAGGGRCTTAATCGTTCAAAATATGAATGTTCATTTGGTTTTTTTCCGGACTTTTTTTCACATTTTACCATATTAAATATTAACTAGTTGTATAAGTCATAAGAATGTATCCAACAGGTTTTAGAAAAGTCCAAGAAGTTATTTAACATGTTTTGAATTGTCCAAAGACTTATTTGTTCCAAAAAAATGTTCAATGAGTTATTTAACATGTTTTAAATTGTCCAAGGACTTATTTGTTCCAAAAAATTGTTCAAGAAGTTAATTAACATGTTTTGGAATGTCCAAACACTTATTTGTTCCAAAAAATTGTCCAAGTACTTAATCATTCCAAACATTAAAGTCTATTGAGTTTTTTAGACTTTTTCCGATTGTATATTGTAAAATACGATTTTTTTTAATTCATCATTTTAAAAACCAGTCACGTTTTGATATTTGATGTTTATGCATGAAATGATTAAGAAGTGAAGCCATGCAATAAGAATCGTTATAATTGGTTCAGAAATGAGAAACGTTGAGTTTTCATGTTAAAAACTAGAGAACGCGAGTTGGTTCAGTGAGGTGAGGCGAACTTGAGCTCGGACATGACTTGTGCCGTTGTGATGCTCCCTTGGACAACATTAAAGACGATGGAACTGGGCGACCTCCAGGTCGCAAGCTAGGGTCGCAACTCACAAGAGTTAAGTTACGCAAGGTAGGGTAGTGTGACAAGGTCATGTTGACCAAAGTCAACGCTAGGTAGGGAACTCGAGCACGGAGGTTGTGTATGTTGTGCGAGCTGGGAACTGACCTCTAGGTCACGCATAGAGGTCATGTTAACTCCTCTGGGTCAATGTTTTGACAAGAATTATCCTTGTTAAGTAATCACAAACGTTTCGTATTAAAATTATACATTAAATCAGAACGCCATTCTACCTATGTAGATGCTATTTCACAAAATCAAAATCAAGCTTCATTGCTACAATAACAAGTAAGTTCCACGTAATCTTATTATGATGCACATAACTAATTTGGTCCCTTTGGTTTACATAAATTAACGAGCAAGGTCCATTGAAAGAATTATTAACGAGGGACGTTCTTATAGTTTCATTTTTATAACGGATATGGTCCTTCATCTAACTCCTTCAGTTAAGTTTCCGTTAATGAGGGGGCAATTTTGTCTCTTCACCATCCTCTTTCCTCAACTTTAAATTTCAATAACATATTTAGTCTCTCAAGCTACTTTTTATTTTGTAACATATTTGGTCCCTCAAACCAACTTACATTATTATAACAGATTTGGCCTCTCAAACTATTTTATATTTCTATAACAAATTTGCTCCACCCCTCAACTTTCATTTTTAGGATTTGGTCCCTCTATTTAACCAATAAAATTTGGTGACACAAATGTATATATTTTCTAAATACTAGAAGGGTACTCGTCTAATTCAGCGAGATATATCTTCATTTTAATATTTTATTTTATTCTTTATCTTAGTCGATATTATACTATGATCTTATGTGATTTTGAAAAAAAAACGATGATGTTTTTATTTTTGAATAAAATATAAATTTGAAGATATCATAAAAATTTGACAAAAATATATCGATATTAATTAGTACCAAATTAACTATTTAAAATTCATGTTTTTTGTGTAATTTTTTAATTCGATATTTTTTATTATAATTTAATTTATGTTCAATAACGAAGTAATTTATATTTGGTTTAATAACATAGTTTTCTTGTAAAGATAATAATTAATTATTTTGTTAGAACTCGATAATTATCCTAATTATATTTTAGATTTTTTATATTTTAAAATGAGATATTTATCCTCTATTTGATTATGTTTATCCGCAGTTAGTTATACAAATTCAAACATGGAGCTTTAATAAGTTGTACTTATGCATAATTTACTTGTAAGCTTGAATTTTAAGTAATATGCATTCATATACAATACTTCATGCATAAAAAATGATTTTTAAGAGTTTTTGTCAAATGATTTATAATATAGTATAGATAATTAGCAAAGTAACTAAATAAAATTTGAAACTTAGATTTTGCCATGAAATATTCATCTTTTCAGTAACATTACTTCCATTAAATCCTTTAGCTCAAATAAAATATGATTTTGATAAATTTTGTTTTAATTAGCTGATAGTAACCGATTAATACTTCAACTGTCTACCCAGATACTTAAATGTTTAAAATTTTACATCTTATGTACCAAAATACAAGTTTTAAAGTACATTATCTAAAATAAAAATCAAGTTAAAGTACGTTATTTTTTCATACAATTTCCCAAACCCGTTTAAACTTAATCTGATCCGTTCGTTTTATTAGCTAGAAAATTGTTTAAGGGGTACCCAAAAGATCTTTAGGTCAACATATTAATCCTTGTTTCCTTGTTGAATGATCCAACCACACATGCAATTGCAACGCCTCCCATGTTAAACAAGACACGTTCATTTTTCAAAAACCATACAAAACACAGACTCCTGTGTCAGCATGCATTACCACACACCACCCCCCCACCCCACCCACCCCCCACTACCCGCTATTGACTCCCACACATATATCTTCTCTTCTTCTCCACAACAACTCACAAAGCTTTTGATTCAATTGGTCTTGCAAAATCACATACCCTCGAATTCATCTGCATTTTGTTACATGAGACATCACCACCAAGATAATCAAGAAATCTTGGCTACAATGGATACCCACAAAAACCCTAATCTTGAAGAAACCACCAACAACCTCCATCTTCTGCCATCACCATCATCTTGTTCTTCACGAGATTTCAGGAGAACCCATCTTCAAAACATGAATCGTGTTCCGAAGAAGATCAATGAAGACGAAGGCCTCGCCGTCAAAAAACCTTCTCTTTCTTGCTCTTCGCTGCAGGCAGCCGGCAAACAAGAAGAAATCATGACACCACCACCACCACCACCATCGCCGGGAAAGATGGTGGTGGAGGAGAGTGGAAGAGAGAGGCTAAAGAGGCATCGAGCGGATATGGCGGGTCGGGTTTGGATCCCAGATATATGGGGACATGAGGATCTTCTGAAAGACTGGATTGACTGCACTGTGTTTGATTCTTCATTAGGTAACAACACCATAATGTCAGCTCGAGCAGCTTTGGTTCAAGAAGGAAGATCAACCCTAAGGATAGAGAATCGATGCTAATTAATTAATTATTAAATTTTATTTTACGTATTTTTCCTAATTTTTATATTTAAAAAAATCTAGTTTAATAATAATTAAGTCGGGTTGTAGGGTGTAATCTTGAGTTCTATATATCCTTCCATTGTGTATTCTTTAATACATCATAGAGATTATATCCCCCTTAGATGAATGATAAGAGCTAAATTCGATCTTTCTGATGTATTATAATTATTTTCAAAAATAAATACAATATATTAATTAAAAAGCTAGTTTAATTTATACATATATATCTTGATAATTGGACAATCTATTTAACCATTTTAGGGTTTGATGATTTCTTTAGGGTTTTTTCTCATCAATAATGTTTAGATAAATTATTGTTCGATCCTTAACTGTTAAATAACATTCTAAGGATCAAACTGTTAAATAACATTCTAAGGTTGTTTGGCGGTTGCTGAATGATTTGGTGCATAATGAGTAAGGGTTGTTTGTTTACCTCTTAATAGTTCTATTAAGAGACAACCTTGGAATCGTTAAGACTTGTTTGGCAAAAAAATGATTTGCCTCTTAATGGTTCTAAAACTCTCTGAATGAAAGCCTCCCTTAACCATTCAGCACCTAAATTCCATTGTAAACAATTATCAAACAATTATATTTCATTTGCACTGTATCATGTAAGCCTCTTAATCATTCTGACCACTTAATCATCCTGCACCAAACCATTCAACAATTGCCAAACAACCCTTATGTTTATTTTTACATAAAATCTTAACCGTGCATATGGTAGTTGCAGAATGATTTGATGCAGAATAATTAAGTGGTTAGAATGATTAAGAGAGACTCTTATGATATAGTGCAAAATGAAATATAATTGTTTGATAATTGTTTACAATGGAATTTAGGTGCTGAATGGTTAAGGGAGGTCCATGATACAAAATCATTTAGAGAGTTTTAGAAGAGACATATCATTTTTTTGCCAAACAAAATTCACCTCTTAGCGATTCAGAGACTACTTCTTAATAAAACTATTAAGAAGTAAACAAACAACCCTAAATTAATTATGTCGAAAGTATATATGTTAAAGCAAAGGGGATTCGAGTCTTGGCGATCGATTGAGGCTCATAGATTCTACTTTTCTTTCTTGAATTCATTGTTAAAAATGGTTCGACCATATTTAATAATTAAGATGTTTAATTAATTAATCAAACAATACGATGATTATATAATGGTTTAAATATATTTTTCACTCACCATTTCTTGTGAGTATATAAGATAACGTATTCAATTACACCGTTTGGTATATACGAAGAATTGTTGGCCCGTAAGTTGTCCAAAAATGTTGGAACTCCATGATATTTCAAAAGGTTCATATTGTTTTGTATGGTTGATTGGACTTGTCAAAAGTTAGAAAGATTTTGGGAAATATGGAAAACATTAAAATTTGTAATGCTAACTGATCTTATTTTTTTAAACACAATCAGAGAACATTTTTTCAGCTCGGTTCACAAGTTCAGGAAAATGTTAATGCTAAAAAATTTAATGAGCCCTAATTTTGACGTTTTCATGGTTTGATCAATTTACCATGAATATAATAACTTTATATGGTGCATTTGGTATGCAAACGGGATATAAGAGAATGGGACATAAAATTAGTTTCATATTTGGTCTGTCATGGAACACGAATAAGATGGGACAAGAGGGAACTAAAACTAGGTTTCAGGTATGTTTTGTTGTTCCACCAAAAAAGATGGAACAACATGAGACTAAATCATAAAATTACTATGTTATGCTTAACAACACACTACAAAAATGCAGAGTATTAGCGAGGGAAAATTCCCTCGCAAATCCGTCGCTAAAAGGGTCATCCGTCGCTGATACTCCGTCGGTCAAATGCTATCAGCGAGGAATTGAGTTTGTGGTCATTCTCTAATACCTGGTTTTCTAGTAGTGAAATCTGAAAAACTGAAATCTAAACTAAAATCACCTCCATCATTCTCTCCATACAAAATTCCAACTCTTTCTTCCCCAACATGTCCATACCTAGATTGATCCCTCGAACAAAATCAAACCATTTTCACTCACAAGGTACAATTTCTTCTATCAACTTCGTCGGGATTCATTTACTTTCAGATATATTTCTTCTTAAATCAAACTGTAGTATGTCAAAACGTTTTTGTCATGCCCTATCCAACTTACAAACGTAAAAAAGACAACTAATCCATTCTCGTTCTAGTTGTACCAAACACATAACAAACAATTACTCATATGTAGTCGTGTCATGTCACCAAGCGCTACCTTAAGGGCATGCTTTTCAAGATTAACAACAAAACATCACGAAATTCAAATTTGGGATAAAAACCTCAATGCTTGTGCATTCATTCGGGAGCCAAAATTTAGGCATGAATTGCACCCAAATTCACAGTCCCACCACCCTATAAGAATCACCTATTGACGTAGAGTGAAACCTCTAGAACAATTATGTTAACCAACGAGTATCAATAAAGAGAGAAATCGGTTGGTGAATTTTAGTTCTAATTTTGCAAGTTTTTAACAATTATTGAAGTGTTTCTTTATGCCATAAATTGCAATTAATTGATTTCCGCCTAATAATTAATGTTTTTGAGTAGTTAGCCATCAGTTGAAGACAACAATGACCCAAAAGCCATTGGTCAATTATGCCCTTACAAACGAATGTCAAGTAACATCAGACTTCACGCTAAACAATTTATAAAAACAAGTTCTGCAAACAGAAAAGTTGGTGTTCAGTATAAATTATAAAAGAATCTAAATCAGTTTTGCATTTATAAAGCTTATTTCATGTTATTTTGGTGCTTTCTCGCGCGATTATGCTTTGTTCATAATTTGTATAACTTGATTGGAGTATATGAATAGGTGCGTTAACACTTTTTTACCGTATCTGTGTTGCCTAGACTTTGTAGAAATGCCTTAAAATAGGATTTACACAAGTTTTGCTTGAAAAAAAGTAGATCATGTTTCATTTTTTTTATAAAAAAGCCCATAAACACAGTGAAGTTTGAGTTCATGTTTATTAATTAATATATACCATTGCTTTATGAGATTAAGTGGCCGTTCATCAAACGCTTACCCGGGTAAGCGCTTACCAAGTCATATTAATTTACCGGATGAATATGACAAAGACCAAAAATCTTATCCGATAAGAACGAGACAATGAACAAGAGTCTTACATGGTAAGTGAAGACGAAGATTCTTACCATGATAAGAGCTTATCGGGTAAATTATTGCATACGGTGCCGTTTTAATGGACTAAAATCATACCCGGTAAGTAAGTAATATTGTTGAATTTTACCGATAATTACTTTATTAGTTCATAGTTTTAATCCTAAATCATACAGATTGGTCACATTAGATCACGTTTTTATGATATGGTCTAACCCGTTTAATTACTTGATGTCAAACCGCATGGTTAAGAATTTCTGTAAAAATCACACTTGTGGTTTCTAGACTACGAATACCATAATTGTTATTTTTGGTGAATAAATTGTAAATAGTGAATATAGAAGGGTGTGAATGAAAATTTTACAAATGCAGGGTTTAAATTGGTAATTAAGTTTTTAGACTCTGCTAAACCTCTGAAACCCTAGCTCGTATTTTAGGGTTGGATAGTCGTTCGATTTACTGTTCTAGTAGCGGCTGCAATCTAACTGCTCCAGGTGATCTTTATAATTCTAGGTTTCTATTGCTATTTTTGCACCATTAATAACCAATTTACTTTCTAATCTAACAAGCACATTCTTATATTTACATAGGCGGAGGAGCTGTGCAAAGGGGAAATCTTTCACCATGAGGTACCTTTGGAAATTTGAACAGCTTACCCTTGAATTACCATGTGAAAAATCATAAATGTTACTAATCGACACACGTATTTTGGGTACTTATCTGCCCATAGTGTTTTTTTGTGTGTTTATGAGTACATGATTGATGATCGTAGGAACAGATTTGGCATCTGGAAACCCTAAAGTTACGTGTCAAAGAAAGTAGACGGTGCAACTGTTATTAGATCAAACGGGTGTCGATTTATTATTATTTTATTGGTATTTTCGACTTTGCAAGTGTTATGATCACCTCCGGCTAAGAGCAACTCCAATCGAACGGCAAAACCCTAATTTTACCGTTCTTTTGGATCCAATCGCACGCCAAAAACACCAAAATTTTGCCGGAGGAAGGAAATGAACGGCAAATTTGCCGTGGAAGAGGTGGACGGCAAAGGTTGGAGTTAGTATCTTTTTGGTGTTAACGGGCCCACTTATTTGGTGTTTTTTTTAGCGTCAAGGTTGGAGTTGCCCTAAGGTGTTGTATTAGAGTGCGAACAGATTGAGGATGGAAAAAAGGATATTCTTTTCGGGTAAGACTGAACCACAAGAGATATTTGACAAAATTCAGCTTACCATTTTCATTTCAGGAGAGGGGATTAAATCCAAATAAAAATAACCACTTGGCCTAAACTCTAGGACTCCACTAACTAATGATCATGGAAACAGCTTCCATGGTTAACCGACTCAACTAGCCTAGTTGTAGGATATCACGATGCCCACTTTTTCTCTGATTTAAACTATGCAAGCAACTAAAAAACTAAACTTGAGTTGGTCCTAACATTACCCCCCTCATTAAGAACAACCTTGTCCTCAAGGTTGGTGTCGACCCATCTTTGCAGCAGCTTCTGGTATGCCTTTTGCACCATCGACGTCTTCATTTCCGGAGTTCGATCTTTCCTCTTCTTCTGCAGCCAACAACATTATTTTAGGTGCTTGGCAGCGATGGCCGGAGTGAACCGTTTGTCACAGTTGAAGCATAGTCCTCGTGCCCTTCTCCGCTGCATCTCATCCCATGTGAACTGTTTGTCACAGTTGAAGCATAGTCCTCGCTTCCTTTTTTGTGGCTGGAGGGGATGAAGTTGGTTGGGTGATGGATCAAATGCACGTTGCCTTTGTAGCTGCTGCTTCTTCATGCGAGCATACCCGATAGCGTCTTTGAGATTTGTGGTTTGAACTTTCGGATTGCATCTGCGATTTTAGATTGAGTCCAGCCGTAAAGGTCCCGATCAAAGCCTTTTGAGTCCATCCATGTACCCGCTTGCCTAGCCTTTCAAACTGCTTTCGGTAATCCTGCAACGAAGCGGTCTTTGTGATTTTGGACAGAGCCTCGTCAAAATCTTCACCCTCCGTAGGCCCAAATCGAGCCCGAATCTCCTACACGAACATGTCCTAGGTGACAGTCAATAGGAAAGATGCAAGGGGTTTAATTGGGAGAAAATATGGAAAATGGCCCTGGTACTTAATGAAACATTACTTGAAGTGGCTTCTCAAAAACTAGCGTATGGCTAACCAAACAGGGCTTATTCAATAAGTTCAAAAATATAAGTTAGCTTATGGTTGTCAAAAATTGATAATATATGTTTGGCAAACTCGTTGATGAGTTAGTGTATTGGCTGAAAAGCTAACCGTTGGCTGATAGCTATGTTGTGTTGGCCTTTAAGCTATGTTGTGTTGGCTTATAAGCTAACGTTAGCTAATAACTAAGCTAACTGTTGGCTAAAAAGCTAATGTTAGCTAATGAAGTAGTCATGTTTGGTAAAAACTAGATGATAAAGTAGATGAAAATGCAAAATGAACTAAAAAGACATGTTGAAAAATTAATTGGAAAAATATGAGGAAAATTGTTTGTGGAGCTTATTGAAGCATAAAAAAGCTTTTCAAAAAGTTAGCTTATAGCTAAGTAAACAAGACTCTTATGGTTGCCAAACATGATCCTAACTTTAAAATTTGGTGATGCAAAACTCAATTTGGGTGATTGGGGAGAAGAATCGTCATTTTGGAGAAATGGGTAGCCATTTTGTGGAGATGAATGGCCATCTTGAGGAGTTAAATGGTGGTCATCTTTGTGCCTATAAATATCCATCACCTCCACCCGATCTAGACACGCCAAACACATGAAAATCCCTCTTGCTAGCCCGTTTGAGTGGTGAGGCAACACTTTTTCAATCCAATTGAGAGGTTGAATATTTATAAGTACGGTAACATCGGTAACATCCTTTTTGTATTTTGTATTTTTGTTTTTCATAGTATCATACTTCTTTTTTTGTGGACGCACACCATCACATTGATATTGGAACCACGTAAATTCGGTATTGTCTCATGTTGTTTATGCTTACATTTCGTTTTTGTGTATTTGGTTTTTTGTTTTTGTTGAACATTCTTTGATATATCTATTTTTTCTGCATTGGCTGTTTGGTTTGGTGTCACTTTGTGTGATTATTAGGACATGAGATTCATCCAAAACCTAGCACCAAGTCATTTGGAGTAGGGACCTTTTTGTGGTGTTCTACCTTAGTGATCTGTTTTATATGAATGTTATTTTATTTCAGTAAGTTAGGAAGTGAGGCTGTCAGAGAAGCCATTACCCAAATTACAACTGAGGCCAAGGAGAAAAACCGTAAGTTTACAGAGACCATTGAGCTTCAGATTGGGTTGAAGAACTATGACCCCCAAAAAGACAAACGTTTCAGTGGCACGGTAAAGTTGCCACACATTCCTCGTCCTAAGTTGAAGGTCTGCATGCTCGGTGATGCTCAACATGTTGAAGAGGTGACTTTATTCTCTTTCAAACAGTTATGGAATTGGAGGATATATTAAAGAATGGGAAAGATGTATCAAAATATGATGAAGTTTGTCTTGCTTCTTATTTAGTGTAACAACCCAAAACAAAAAGTGTTTTAACTAATTACTAGTTACCAGAGTAAAACATACAATTTTCTTTGACAAAAAGTATTGCGGAGACRGGATTTGAACCCGTGACCTCAAGGTTATGAGCCTTGCGAGCTACCAAACTGCTGTACCCCGCCCCGAAGAGAACAACTGAAAACTAATAGACAATCAAGGACTGAATGCGCCCCGCTACCATATATGTACAAATAGAATAGCCTATTTATACAGAATGGTAGATTTTTTCTTCTCATTTAGTCGAACAAAAGTCTAGTTCTTTCTATTTCATACTCATTTTACCTTATAAACAGATTTTCAGCCTCTGTTATATCGGTTTACTTTTATGTGACATTTTTTTTGTGTAATGAAGAATTATAGTATGACTTATAACTTGACCTACACGTTGCTAGTAGTTACAATTCAACTGTTTCCGGTCAAAATGGGTACGGAATAGGAGGAAATCAACTTTTGTTACACCAATTGAGTTTTTTTTTTTGTATTTGATGCATTTTGGCTAAAAAATATGTGGCATTTCACTTCCACTCTTAATAAATCACACTCCATTGTCCAGTAATCTTGCTTTTTGAAGAATTATTTGTTCTTATTTCATATGATAGAAATAATCCATTTAATTCTTTGTAATACAGGCACAGAAGATAGGATTGGAATACATGGATGTTGAAGGGTTGAAGAAGCTTAACAAAAACAAGAAGTTGGTCAAGAAGCTTGCTAAGAAGCACCAAGCCTTTCTGGCATCCGAGTCCGTCATTAAGCAGATTCCGCGTCTATTGGGCCCTGGTCTCAACAAAGCAGGCAAGTAATTTTGTTATATTTTCGGGGGGTTTTTTTTCCCTATGTTTATAGCTTTTTTTTCCGTAACCATGGAATTTAACATTTGCATTGTGGCTGTAAATTGAAACCCTTCATTTTAAGGGGTGCTTGGTTCTGTTTATGGGTATGGGAATGAGAATGTTGGGAAATAGTTATCCCCCCTAATTTACTAGGGTACAGATGATTCCCCACTTTTAGATAATCACTTATTGCATATACTGAGCTAAGTATCAGTATTCATTCTCATTTCCATTCCTCACCCTATCCTATCCCAAACCAAGCAGCCCGTTAGGTTTTACTACCTTTGGGGATCTGTAACTACTCCCTCCCTCCCAAAACAAATGTCCACAATGAAAAAGGCACATAATTTTAGAAATGTGTAATTATTAGACTTTATCATCTAACTTACAGTTTTACCCTTAATAATAGAGGAAGTAATGAATTTCTCCAGCTCTTTATTTATGGGTAGAATTGGGAAGTAAGCTCTTACCTTTGAAAGTGGATGTTTATTTTAGAACAAACTGACAGAGAGAGTATAATGGAACATGGTCATGATGATAGATAGCTCATTTGGACACCAGGTAGATTGACAAACATGTTTGATAACTGCTAACCTGCGTTTGTACAGGAAAATTCCCGACACTTGTGACACATCAGGAGTCCTTGGAGTCAAAAGTTAATGAAATAAAGGCAACAGTGAAGTTTCAGCTTAAGAAGGTTCTCTGTATGGGGGTTGCTGTGGGAAATTGCAGCATGGAAGAGAAGCAGATCTTCCAGAATGTTCAAATGAGCGTAAACTTTCTCGTTTCATTATTGAAGAAAAACTGGCAAAACGTGAGTTCTTCGAATTCAAGTTTGATTTCTATCATGTGTTCATCCAGACATAGTCATGCCTTACTTTCATCCCTGCCCCATTGTGGTTACCAGAGTGTTTTGCTGCCATTCATATGCTTTGACCATTAAGTTGACCTTAAACCAAACCAAATAAGCGGTTTAGTTTGACACAGGTAGTTTAGTAATTTACCTATCTTGCTTTATCTCCTGATTTTTGTTCCATCTATTTTGGTGCAACAAAAAACTGCAATTTTGTCCCACTTAATTCTGTCATCTCCCGGTTTAATTGTCGCTCCAAATGAGGGACAACAACTTTTTCTTCAGTCCGACCTGTCTTACGTACCAAACACACCCTTGAGGATTAAGTCGACAACACTACTCATCAATGACAATGTAGAGAAGCTTGTGAACCAAAATGAATGTTGATCAGTATTTGTTAACGATCCTAGATACACAAAAGAGGTATGGATTGAAACCTTTCTAACAGGAGTAATGATATCTTGGGACGTATAATCAAATGCGAAATCTTAAATCTTGGCCCTTGGATCTCACCTCTACCTTGCAGTATTTTTTTCTGATGATCATACTCTCAGAGAACATGTCATGTTTTCATTTGCAAGAGTTATATGTGGTGACAACTAAGGGGTATTTGGTTGGTTTCCATTAAGTGCTGTATGGATAAAGCTGTCTGTGGATTAATCTGCATGCATAGATCGAGAAGGTTTTGTTTTGGGAGGGGTTTTCCATAGATAGGAGTTTCTGTTTAAAGCTCCCCCTAGAAGCTTAATGAACAAGTCACTTTCTATATCATTAAGCCACTACCAAACAGTCATGTATAGTTGACCGAATAAGATGTGAGTCTCATTAATCTTGTTAAGCTGCTATGCTAACAAACAGACCCTAACATAGCTATAGCCAAGCACAAATATAGAAGGCAAAATGTAATTCTGTGTTAAATTGGTGTTATATTCTTAATAATTTGGTATTGGTTTTCTGTTTTTGGGAACAGGTGAGGTGCTTGTACCTGAAGACTACCATGGGGAAACCAGTACGTGTCTTTTAGTAAAAGCCGAGATTGATGATTTTAGACGACAGTTGTAGGACGACACATACATTCGATATCATCTGATACGAATGGTTCGATATTTTTGCTTTAAACCGAGTCATCATTCTTATCTTAAATCTGTATTTTTGGTAGTCATTAGATTTGCAGTGTAATGGAAGAGAATCTGAAGATCTTCCATGCTTGTAAAATGTTGAATTTTTGTGCAAATTTTCTACCATATGAATGTTTGATGTTTTGTTGGTACAAGAAGAATTTCTACCATATGAATGTTCTCATTTTGGGGAAAATGTACATAAAACCTCATTCTGAATCATTGTGTTTGATTTGTTTTTTTAATAAATAAATTATTTACGTTTTAAACAATTAAGTACCTAATTTTTTATGAACAAATATACCTAATTCTTTCATCTTCGCTTCTTTTTCTAAACAGTTTAATAGACTATGTACAGAATGATAAAAAATAGAGGCTAAAATCAAAAAACAAATCAAAAAACGGGAGGTCAATGGTAAGGGTCAAAGACAGTGAACGACTAAGAGGTTGCGAGGGCAAGTGATGTTGGATGTGAGGGTTTGAACAACATAGGGAAACTGATTTAGGTTTTTTTTTACTTTAAAACATTCATAGCCGATTACATGTAGTTTTTTTGGGTTAAAAAAACATAGATAACCAATTCTCTAAAAGTTTTATAGTTATATATTTAAAAATAACCCTATAATCTAAACTTGAAATCATCTGTCATCAAAACCAAAAACCAAAAACCATTTACCAAAACCGAACAGAAATAAGGTTTATTGGTAAATATATCCGGACTTTATCTCTATCCTAAAAGCTAAGGAGTCTATTTCCATGAAGACCGTCAATTATAAAACAAAAACTAAAAACTAAAAACCAATTGCCTATTTCTTGTCTTGAAGTTGCATTTTAAACTAGACAAGACACAACAAGCAAAAGTGAGGTAAACCGATGAAAGATTATACAAGATTTAAAGATTTTAATTTTACATGTACAGTTTACTACTTTACCAACATTGTCTTGTTTTATTTTTGTTCCAGCTATTTTGTTTGCACATAATGTAGCCTTAATGTCGCACCAAACGTGGAACAGGTTTTTGTCCGATCATATCATGCACTACGTATCAAATGCACCCAAAAAGACCAACCAAAACCAAATGGTAATAACGGCCCAGTTCAAGTTGGTTTTTGGTTATTTCGTCCATCATACATGCACATTGCAGATTCATGGAGCTTGATGGTGTGATCATATTTTACACTAAAAAAGGAAAACCAAAATTCAGCAAGCAGCTATAGAATACGTCAAGCGTACTTCTCTGATCCAATAGAGAATCATTCTTTATTCTGTATTTATAACCATTTTCATATCTGAAATTGCAAAGAAATGAGAGGTATCCTGCTCCAAAGTACGCCAAATTCTACCATCTACCTTTTAACAAAAGAAACCAGTATAGCATCGGATTTTTAGTTCACTATCACATCCGAACAACAATTGCAAAAGTGAGGATGAGCCAAGTATGTTGTGGTATCTACGCATACAGAAGGAACTTACACCAGAAAACTATTTGACCATGAATGAACTTTTACAGCTACAACCACCAACTGCACTTGGATTTTCGGCTACCTGCACATCAAATCAAAACCCTTATCAGATCTCTAGGCTACCGGAGAACTGATTGCCTATTGGTAAACAAAGAGAAAAAAATTAAACTAAATGGATAGAGGAAAGAAGGAATGATGCTATGAGCCATGTAGTACAAACCAAAGAGTCATTGGCCTAGGGGTATCTGGGTTACGGGTAGATCCCAGTCTCCCGGGAGGTCAAGGGTTCGAACGAAAGGTGAGAAGTGTACGTGAGTATTTGCTGTGTAAAAATATATTACATACTTTTAAAGTAACAACGAAGTATAAACATATACAATACCAAACAAAACTGACTGTTATTTCAAAGAGTAGTGGCAAACCAAAGAGGCACCATGGCTACAAAACCAAATGTGTTTAATGTGTGAAAGACCTTACAACACATATATTTGTAGAGTTCCAAAATCACCGATCTCCCAACATCATTGGTATTTGAGTTTTGTTCATTATCCACCATGCCACGATAGACTTACAACATATGAAACTCAAACAGCCTGCTCTCCTGCAAAGCCCGTTGGTCATCTTTACAACATAAAAGAATGAGAAGCAGCCTGCTCTCCTGCAAGGCTTGTCAATAATCTTTACACTTTTTTTACTTGGTTCAATTGGAAATTGTGTTATAAATTCTAACATCCCAGAATGGAAGAATGAGAGTTTTCTGCTCATTAAGGAACAATATCTTTTGCTGAAGACCTGAAGTGAAGACGTAATGTGTCTAATAGGGAAGTACAAAAATGAGAAAATTGATGGAATTCTAATATATTGGCAAAGAGCAACGAAATGGTTTCATCATCCCACTCTAGTTGATTCAAGATGGTGATAACCACAGTGCAAGTCCTCCAACTGAGATCCCATAGGCGCTTTTACGGTAACAACTGACATTTGGTAAGTAGCTCAAATTAAATTTTATAATCCCTGCATGTGAATTTTGAAACATTTTTCATTTTAGGATGTCCCCTAAAAGAACAAAGTTTTTTTTTCTTCCTATTTTTCATTTGTTCTCAGAAACATCTACCGAAGCATCGTGGAAACCAGATACAAGTTAGAGCCATATATGTGTTCAACATGAGATGGGTATGACCAGATACATATGTTCTACTCTAAACTTTTGACTTGATACTAGAATCATAAGTGTATGTTTTACAGATGGTGCTGCTGACCGCTGAGGATGACCCTTGATGAAATTATTTTAAGAGTAAATTACATGATCGGTCCCTGTGGTTTACATAAAATCACACTGTGTCCCCCTAAATAAAAATACTTGTGGAAAATGTCCATGTGGTTTACATTTTCGCACGCCTTTGGTCCCTTTGCCCTAACACCGTTAAAAACACCTGTTAAGTAAGTTAATTAGGTCATTTTAGTCATTTTACTTTTTATCCTCATTTTTTTGATATAAAAATATATATTTAGCACCCAATTAAATCTTGCCATTTGTATTGATACGACCCATTTCTAGCTCAACCATTTACTCCGATGACCCATTGATCATCTTCACCAACGACCTACCAATCATCTTCTCCTTTTGAAGTTTTGGTTTATGGAAAATCAATCCATCATGATGAAGATCTAAACCAGTTCTAGCATCCTAAATCATCGCTTCCATCTTCAACATAAATCCCCCCCACTGGTGAACCTTTTACCCCACCTACCTTTCAAGAAATAAACTCTGTAATGCCCCAAAAAATGCACACTTACCCCCCACCAACCTTTCCAAAAATAAAATTTGTTATTCCCCTGAGTTCTCCCATTTAGGTCTTGTTTCATTTCTATAAATTACTCGAGTTTTCAAATCCTTGTTCAAGAAAGAACACACACACAGAGGTTTGAGTAGGGTGGGGGATTAGCAATCTATCAGATTAGGTCAGTGGAGGATGGGGGGTTTACAAAACCAAGCATTCACTGGTGGAGTGGAGTGGGGAGTTTACAGAACCAAGCATTCACAGGTGAGACGGAACTCGAAGATGGAGACAGAGATGGGACAGTGGCGGATATGGAGCTCAAAGGGGTGGTCGGAAATTATGAAGATACCCACTGGGTAACTAAGTTTTGTGTATATTGTGTATACATATGTATATATCTGTGTGCTAACTATAAACATAGGTGTTATATATATATATATATGCACAATCATGTGGGAGTTCGCCGATAGTCGATGCAGAGGGAGGATGAGGGGAAGGGGTTCACCCTAGGAGGCGGCCAGTGGTGATGGAGGGTGAGAGAAAGGGGTCATGGTGGGTGGAAACATGTGGTGGTCGGATCTTCTCCTTGAGGGGTTGAGTTCTCAGATCTCTCTGTGTGTGTATATATATGTGTTATATATATATATATATATATATATATCATATATGTGTGTGTTATATGTATACATCATCCCTGTTCCAGGTTCACATAAATAGATAAAGTAAATTACATTCTTGGTCCCTGTGGTTTTTAAATCCAAAAATAAGTTTCTAAAAGAAAATTTAAAAGCAATAAAAAGACTAAACTACCCTTAAGAGTTGACTCATTTAACATATGTTTTTAACGCTGTTTGGGTAAAGGGACCAAAGACACGTGAAAATGTAAACCACAGGGACGTTTTCCATAATTATTTTGATTTAGGGACGCACAGTGTGACTTTAGGTAAACCACAGGGACCAATCATGTAATTTACTCTTATTTTTATTTGATCCTGATGATGACTTCATACCTATGTTCTAGTTCATTTATGTTTTGGATTTGATGACTAGTCCTTTTATACCTAGTGTTCCTTTTGTTTAGTACTCATACTATAAGTTCTTGAGAGATTAATTTCATATTTCCAATAATCTTTCTTCGTTGGGTTATTTTTACTACCACCCACACATATAGGAAGTAGTGAACTATTGTGCTTTTTTTGTTTGAATGAATTATTTCCGGTTACATGATTATGCACAAGGGAAGAGTTGAGACAGATATAAATCCTAGACTCACCCCTGATCATGTTATGGGACAGGATTAAACATTAGAATCATTGTTTCTTGTTTCTGATGCCACCGTTGGACCACTTAGTACATTTATCATGTTTTAGTTCCACACTTCCACCTTTCTTCCAGTTGCAGTATGCGCATGGCGCTGAAAGCTCAATAAAGATAAATGCCCTTGGCAGCTCTACTTTCTGGATGATTATGTTCTATGCATTACAACAGTTAGATGGAGCTGCATGGGGACAAGAAGAGTTGCAGTACCCTTTCACTTAACCTAAATGCAAAACCAAGGATACTCGAATTTTCGTATCTATGAAATGGCCACACACCATGTACCAGTACAACCCGTTACTTGGCTTCCTACGTAAGCATTTTAATATAGATTTCAGTCACAAGATTTACTTCAAATTGGGAGCTAAGTTGATGATTGGGCCGAGACAACTAGTCAAGTATCTAAATGGTGTGAGGCGTGGCGTGGCGGCGAGGTCAAGCCTCAAGCCTTAGGAGCCACGTCATATAAATTATTTACCTATGAGCTTACATTTTCTGCAATTACTCAATGGGTCAATGATATTAGATAATTTATATTATGTTATAAATTAGAAACTAACAAATAAGACACTAAAAAAATAAGAAAAATCATCTATTGCGTTACAAAAACCGCACATTAGCGTGCCACAGGCTTAACATGGAGTGAGACAGAAGCCTTAAGCCACGGCGTACCACAGCGCCTGTTGCGGCGAGCTTTTTTAAACACTGCAACTAGTTTGGAATAAAAAGATTATTCTTGTTAAAACTATTCGCTTTCCCAAACTTTGTCGATGTGAGGCACACATCAATCAAACATAATTTTAAAACAAGGGTATTTTGGACAATTCCTTGATGGTAAAAAACTTCTACAAAGAGAATTTGTGTATGCTTGGCTGTTGCAATTTTAACAGCATAGACTATGGAGTGAACGGTTATATTTTGCATCATGCAATTGCAAATTGCAAAGTAACGAGCAGCCATTGCTAAAGAAATTGAGAGGATGTTATGCTTGAAAAAGTATAGTGCCAACATCATGGCGATCAAAATACTACTTTCAACTCCTTGGGCAGATATGCCAAGGTCATATAGGCATCAAAGATAACTGACCCTTGTCATCTGTACACATGCTATGTCTTTGTAAGTTTAATCCCCAAAACACGAGTAATAGCACGATCAACATAGTTGAAAACAACAGGTATGTGTGATGATGAAATGAATGAATGAACTAGATCGTATGCTTAATGAGGAAGTAAGTTACCTGAAATCCAGAACGGATTAGCTCTTCAACATAGTCAACGGTTGCACCTTTTACAAAACCTAATGATATTGTGTCAACCACTAACTTAACGCCATCTCTCTCAAAAACTCTGTTGATGTTGAAACACATAGTTATAAGACTGCAATTCCATGTATTGAACTTCTAGTATCTTCACAAACATCACAAAAGCAAACCTGTCATCATCTTTAGGTTTCTCTTCAAGTTCGAAGTTGTATTGGAATCCAGAGCATCCACCAGCCTCTATACTCAATCGAAGCATCTTTTCCTTAGTTTCATCATCTTGTAATTCTTTCATTCTCTGTATGACATCATGAACGAACGTCAGGAACCAATATGTTTTTAAAATCATGAACCTTCAGACAGAGTTTCAGAACATTATGGAAAATTCTATATCACTAGTTTGCGGGATATTGAGACCTAAAAATCTTCTGCATAACATAACGATTCATCATTTCTGAAAGTGATTACTGGAAAGCGGCAGCGAGACAATACAATGCAAAGTTTTTTGCTTAGTAGCATGACTTCTTTTATTCTATGCCCTTTCTACCCCTTTTACATACTACGAGTCTATGACCAATAATAGAAAGTTAAAAACAATTTGGATAGAGACAGAAAACATGAAAATGAGGCTAGCTACCAAACAACAAGACATAAAGGTACACACAACATCCAAGAGAAGTCTAACTGTCATCTTTTATTTGATTACGAGTGGGTCTCTGAATATAGCCCAGTTTTCTGTAATAGTACTTTGGTAGACATGAAAATCTATATTCCTATTTCTAAAAACACACACACAACCTTGTTTCAACCACAAAAAAGAGGAGCCATTGTTGAAGATGGTTTTTCCTACTATTTTAAGGATACACCAAATGAAGTAGTCCATCCTCAATGAACGAGTTTCCTCACAAGATTACAAGAATGTGAAATACGATACCAATAGGCATAGGGAATATGAGCCCTAATCTGTCTCACCTCCAGTGTGGAAGGCTACTTGGGAACACACCCTACAACAAGAAGACTTCAACGAAGGAGCTCCCTTGGGTCCCTATAATGCCAAAACTGGGTGTGTACCAACTACCATGGGAAAGGAGATGAGCAAGTTTTTGAGTCTATCCCCTTCCTTGACAGTTTAGACATGAAAATGAATCCCAATGCAAGCTTTTCAATACAACTTCTTGGGACTCGATTGATGCATGATGCCAAACTCCTAAACCAGTATTGGTTGCGTACTTCAATGAGCAGAAACAGGATTCTACAAGCCACTTTTAAAATGTATTGGAGGAAGGAGAAGTTGTTGTCGCCCTTGGTGCAAGACGGACACGACCCACAAACTGAAAAAGGCCAACCACAAAGTAAATTCATTTGGAAGCAAGACAAACAATGGGGTACTTCAAAGTTCGATCTAGAGAGTTGAACACAAATAATCCCAGAGCACCCAATAAAACTTGGAATTGTATGCTTTCAGATATCAGCCCTCCAGAGATCTAGAATACCCCAGAATTAGGTCGTTAATAGGTGAAAACTCGATATTAGGTTTCCATCTTCAAAGCGAAATCGTGCTAATTCCCGTCAAACTCAAAGTTGAATATAATTTTGGAAATGGGATTCTAAGGGATTGCCATATGCAGGCAGATAATAGGACGATTTAGTCCAAACAAACCAATCCCCAAATCATTTAATCTATGTTTTTCTCCCCTCAAGCGATAAATATACAGTTTTCCAATCCTATTGCAGCTTGCTAAGATAATCTCTTCAAAACCTTCTAAAATTCATCGCCATGCTTCAAAAGAACGTATTATCAACAGACACGCATGTACAGAAGATAAAATAAGTACCCGGATGCAATTATCAGACAAACGAACGGTATCTCCTTCCGGCGGAGACACGGAAGAAGATTGAGGCTCTTTAGCAAGGGCAGAGGATGATGCAGAACTAAGTAGGCTGGAGTTGTGACGAATTCGAGCTGCGAAAAATGGAGACACACGCTGTATGAACGACCTCGATAACGCCATAACTAGATTATTGTTATTACCCTCTTCACCGTCTGCAAAGAATCATTGAAGCGTAATGATCCAAAAGGATCAAGAAGATGAAACTGGATTGATGGAAATGGTTGGTTTTGGTGCACGTCGTTTGGTGCCTCGAAGGTGTTCGAATAAATGACTCTCGTTCCAGAATTCAAAGGCTGCGTGCTTGTTTAGGCCACGCGCTCACTCCGATACCCTTGCGTGGTCAGCCATCAAAAAGAATAAATTATAGTGAGAATTATCTTTTTGGTCCCTTTACTTTACATTGTATTACATATTAAGTCCTTACAGTAAAATTTTAACATCCATTATAGAGTTAAATATATATAGGGGGTGTTTGGGATTACTTATAAAAATAACTTATTGACTTATTCTTATGTGACACCGGTAATAAGCATTTATGACTGTTTGGATAAACAACTTATACCGGTGTCAAACCAATAATAAGAAGTTTTTGAAGAAGTTAAATTCTTCTGACTTATAATAAGTTGATAAATGTTTTTATAAAAAAATATAAGTTGTTTCAAATAAGTAATCCCAAACACTTAAATAATACTCGGGACAAACTTTCAAACAAAAATTCAAATTTCATCAAAAATTATGCAAAATCTTTATTTTTTTTCTTTTTATAGAGAAGTTGTCGAAAATGCTATTAGTTTTTTGGTTTTGTTATCACTTCGATTGTTTTTTAATTAATTATCATGAAAATAAAATGAGAACGATTGGGTGAAAATTACAAACTGAAGATCAAAATATTTTATAATAATCTGTTTTGACCAAACGAAAGAAATATAAATATTTAGCCAATAGATATCCTTCCTACTGATATTGGGCTACCAGTAATATTCTAAATCGTGAACTTGAACTGAATAAAATAATTAATTTTCTTAATTTGGTTCACTAAAGTAGTTTTAGTAAATAAATTGGTTCAATTTAATCTAGAAAATGATATAGGAACTATCACATTAATGGCAATAAATAATATCACATCAACGACAATAACTTTAAAGTTAAAGATTTAAGATTAAAAGTACTAGAAGATTTCAGGGTCAAATGTGATGATTTCGGGCTATCTGCAAAACAGATGGTCACCATCGGATTAGTCGGCTCGCATAGCGGGTTGGATATCCAGGTTAATAAAAAAAAGTTAATTTTTGGTCTTGAAGAAATAAATTCTTTTGACTAATGACCGGTTTTAAAAGTCCTGGTTCAAGACCAGTCTTATGACTGGTTTGGGTCAGGTTCAGATACGATCAAAACTTAAATAATACTACTATCAATCATAATTCGTTTTAGCATTCCTCTTTAACCAACTAGAGAAGAAGGGAGCCAACCTTCTATCAGAAAGATCCAATGATAGAAGTTTTTAATCAATCCAAAAAAACTACAACACGATCACCTGCTCAAATACAACGATTAAAAACTGTGAACTTTTATAGGTGAAATTGCAGACTTTGACACGTCAAAGCATCTTCAACAGATTCCTTCAAAATGGAGAATCGAAACTCAAAATCTTCAAAAGGAAAATCACATTCAACTTCAACTATCCATTTGCATATTACAACATTGATATATTAAAATATTTGATAAATGTAACATATTATATAAGTAACAAAATATATATTTTTCTCTCTCCTAGATATATAACATCATATTTGGAGAATTTCATTTTCTCTTATAATTTTTCCATTTTTGAGAAGGTTTTGAATTAAAAATTTACCCAAAATATCCTCTTGCTTGTTGATTTGAACCTTACAAATGTATGAGATTTGCAATCGATGTCCTAAAAAATACAATAATTATGACGTTTAACCGACCAGAAAATGTCGAATACTAAAGAATGTAAGCGAACATGGTAAAAAAGGAGACTAAAATCACATGGAATTTATATCGTCAACAATGGGAGCCCAGATTTCCGTTTATAGCTTCAAATCGACACCGAAACAATGAACTTGAAGCGAAGGCTACCCCATACCCATTGATTTCCCTTTTCATCAGGGTAACCGTATGTATAAATATTAATCAGATTTCTCGATCTCTTTAAATCTCCGATCCCACTCCTTTGTGTCATACTCTTGCTCGAATATGTCTTTTTCCGTGGTGTACACAATCCGATCCTCCCCGATTACAGTCCTCTGAGACATGTCCCGAGCACTCAGAATCTGTGTAGATTATACACGAGTCAAGTTAATAACCCAAAGAAAGCATCCACAAAAATGGGAATCGGAATACTTCAATATGAAATACGATTGGTGAGTAACAACCAACTACTCTAGCAAGTGTGTTCCTTAGGACGCATTTGGTACACATGACAAAACAAAACAAAAAACTTATCCACATTTGATGGGACATTTTTACCAGGACATGACAAGACGCCACCAAAATAGGCGGAAACCAAATTCAGAAAGCTGGGACAAAAAATCCATCCCAAAAAACATTCAAGAATACATCTTTAACATCATAGGCCAACCGTATTAGATATTGTCTGCTTTGTACACAAACTTGAACTCACGGTTTTAAAACGCATCTGATAGAGGAGGTATCAAGTCCCTTATAAGCAACCTTTATTCCTCTCCCCAACTAATGTCGGATCTTACAATATTGGTCCAGGATGATGTATTCTTGAATGTTTTTAGTCCAAGACGATCTCGGGGTCTTTTCACGGGAATAGCCACTGTACCTTTTGAGCTAGAGAAAACGTTTGCATACATCCCCCCCACCACACACACAGTCAACTGGGTTATACTGAGTTCATCTGGTTTGGTCTTTTTGGTTTACTAGTTGTGTACCCGCGCAATGCGGCGGGAGCCATGAATTTTAACGATTTTGAAGTTTCACTGGTTTTATTAGAGAAAATTTAACGATGATATAAGTTACACTTGATCTTTACATATTAATACAATTTGAATAAATAAGAGTTATGGTTCCAATTACAGTCTATCGGTGAAAAAAATTGTATGACAGTTTAAAATCCAACATATTTAAACGACTCCACAAATGTGTTCGATTTACACTAAGAGCAAAGAATCAAAAGATCGAGAGCGAGACCGAGAGTTCTAGAGCAATTGAATGAGAGATGAATGTGAGAACTTTTAATAACTCATGGTGAATATCAGATTGAATCTCACATTGGAGGAGGGGGAGAAGACATAGAGGTATGAGAGGGTGAACTGCATTAGTGAAAGGTGTCAAAAGTATCTTTGGAACATGAAAAGAAAAGGTAATTAAGTGCATTGGTAACTTGTACTATATGTTATTTTAATTGTAGATTAAGAGATTTTGAGACTGAATACATAAAGTAGTAGTACCATTATAAGTTGTTTTTAAGACTTTGTTCATAGATGTATAGTACTTTGTGCATTAAAAATTGTTTTTAAGACTTTTGACAAATCTGGTTTATAAGGTAGTATAGACATGGCCCTTAATAGGGGATGGAGGAAGCAAGTTACTATTATGCCTTACCCTTTCACACTGAAGCTTCTAAGTATCGACCATTGTTCTAGAGTATTATACCCGACAATGACTTATCTACAACCCTAATTAACATCTATCTTAATATAGATATTTTTTGTCCAGGCCAACTTGTGCCCATCTCGACTAATCCCATAAGGCCCTGAGATAACAACCAGGAAAAAGTCACTGTAGAAGTCCCAAGGCCTAGCCTTTATTTGTCGTTGAGTTGACGGTCAAGGTTGGAAATAATATAGATTACGTATGCTACTTGCTGGCTATATACTTGTCTAACCGCAAATCCCGATTCATTCGATTTTTAGCATGTGATGATCACTAAATACTCTGATCAAAGAATCCAAAAAAACAACCACCATTTATGTGCGAAAGAATGAACTGATCATGGAGTTTTAATCACAGAAATTCAGCATACTGAATAACCCATACCTTTCGTCTGAGGGAGACATCTGGCAATTCAAGTGCTCGTGCACGCTGCTCCCTAGCTTGGTTCCTTTTGTCTATTTCAGCATTTGTCTTTTGAGTGATGAACCATCGGACCAAAGGAATAGCAAAGAAGGAGGCAGCGTAGATCTGTAAAGTTGATAATGTTAATGCAAGAGTGATTGAAGAAATATACAATAGGGGCAGGTTCATTTGAAAACAGTAAATATTTTGAGAACCATAAGAACCAACTCTATTCATGATGAATATTGTATAGACATCCATGGTGAACATGAAAATGAAAATGTATGACATTCATGACGAACAATATTCATATAATTGAATACTTGGTTCTCACAATATCTATGGTTCCTAAATGAACTTTCTCCTTATAAATAAGACCGTAAGAAAATTGGTTTGATTCCTCAATACTAGAGAATCAGTTCAATAGCTAATGAATCTAACATTAGTTCTTAAGAACTATAAAGCTAACATATTTTTTGGCAGTACATAGTTCCAAAAATGAAAATATTAGAAAAGGAAACAATTACTTCTTATGATAATGATGCTTTACTGATATAAAAATACACAAATCTTGACAACCTTATGCTAGAAAAATGATGGTCAACTGTAACTAAGGCGGACTAGATTTTATTTTTTTGGTAACCATGGGTGTCCATGACAGCTTGCAAGCACCTCGACTAATCCCATGGGGCCCCACAGATTACAGTCAGGAAAATCCACAGTGGCCCCGAGAAGACACGAACTGCTAACCTATGGTTAGGAGCCTCAAGACCTGGTCTTTATTTGCCCGTTGAGTTGGCCTCAAGGTTAAGGCGGCTATATTTGCTAAGCATGTAGACAGAAAACAGAAAACTGGGAACACATGGAGCATACAGAACATTAATGCCGAGATAATATAGGACATACCTGGAGAACAGGAAATATTTCAGATACAAATGAAATGAAGCCGCTTGGTGTGACTGTCAGATTCCTTCAAATACAGTCGCAGGAAAGAAGTAAGGAGAAGCAAAGTGAAGAAGAAGAATTATGGATCTAGAAAATAGATCTATTATGAACATACTTCAACATGGTCCCAAGAACAATCACCCCAAAGAGATTAAGTGCGCCCAAACCAGCAACCATTGCCCTCTCTGTGTTGCTAATTTTACTGTATGGTGAGCACTGATACGTGTCAAAAAACTAGATGCAAACAAAAATATTGAAGAAATTAAGAAAGCGATAGAGACCTGAAATCCCATTTTTTCTCCTTGAAGAACTTATCAACGCCTCCCACCCATTCAGTCCATTTTCTACCCACGTATTCCTTCCTACCACTTCTTTGTGAAGTAGCTGTACGTTGAAGTGATGGAAACCGATACAGAATGTTCCCCTGGAACGAGAAAACATGCTGCCATAAACCACTAGTCGACGGAAAAAGAAAACATACAGACTACCGACGGGAAACGACAATGAAGAGACGAAGATACTGCATTTATCTAACAATTCTACGTGAAATTCTGTTTTATTGGTCAACGTCCTCATACGCACATTGTTAGATGATCATCCTATCAAGTAACGTACCTCTTCATCCACTTCTGGTTGACCATCAAAACGCAGAAGAACAGGTAATATGTATGAGTCATCATCATCCTGTAGCAAAAGACAACTGGGGTGGTTTATATACGGTATTAAGGATGAAGAACTTCGATCTTTATATCTAGCTCGGTTACTCAAAAGTGCAATGCGATAAAGAAAAGTAGTTCCACAAAGATGACATAAATTTTGTCACAACATAGTAAGAACCTTGGTTAACTTTGCATATAAGAAAATAACAAATTTAATTACAATGGCAAAAGCCTGCAAACTTCACATCTAACCAACCGGAATACGTCTCAAATTACTTGATAAAAATTAATAAAGCATGATTGAAAATGACATAAATTCTTTGAAGTAAACAGAAACTGTCTAAAAGACTGCATTACTCTCAAATATTTCACGCAAGTCAAAAGGGATGACAAATGAAGTCAAGAGTGCAAAGATCCAAATTGTAATTTCATTTGATTACATGACATGATGACAAACTTAATAATCCTCATGAAATGCATATGGACTCGAATTTATGTATCAAATATGGACTTTATCTTTTCTTTCATCACACACACAATTGGGTTGTAGCCTTCTATATGCAATTGATCACTGATTAAAGACAGCTCCTCAAAAAGAATGTTGACGCTACATATTGCAATTTAAAAGAGTTCCTCGAGAGAAAATATTAAGTTCCACTGAGGCGGTCGTAGTAACTCATAATTATTAGTTCTTTCTTCAGAAATAAATGTTTTTTCCCTGAAGATAAGTTGTAAAATCATAATTATTGATTCCTTCATCAGAACTAAATGTTTTCTTTTTTCTGGAGATAAGTCTCTCCCGCATTATGATTTTGCTGCTTAATATCATTCATATGTCCTAAGCAAGGTCATACCGTCTTCTCAGCATTTTGTACGTCAAGATATGGAGCAAGTTCCTCTGCTGTAACAACACCACCATTCGATGCAATGTACTGACCAATCTGCAATAGTGGGATAAAATATTATAAGATGCCCGGCAAAAAGAACAAAAAAAGGAACTTAATATACAGAAGCACGTGAAAGAAGAGAAAGATGAAGCTTATAGTGCATATAAAATGCTTAGCCATCTGAATATAAATGTGGCTTAGGGTCGTTTACCAAATGCTTACCGGTGAGCATGGCCAGGACCAAGAATCTTACCTGGTAAGAGGTGTGGCAAGAACCGAGGTTCTTACCCGGTAAGTGAGGGAGAAAACTCTAACCCAGTAAGCACTTACTGAGTAAGAGACGCTTATAAACAATCAATTTTGATGGCCAACAATGTTAACTGAACCACAAGGGTTGTGGCGTAGTGGTTGAGCCGTTGAGGTCCTGAGAGATGTGGTGAAATATCTCATCTGCCCAAGGTTCGATTCCAGGCGTACACAACAATTGTGGCCACTGAATTCATCAGGGTTGATTTCTTGCAGTCACAAATGTTGCGATTAGTCAAGGTATAGCCTGGGACACCCTTCCAAAAAAAAGAATGTTACGACGAGGAAAATGAGGGTGGTGACTATTGCTGGTAAGCATTTGGTAGAAGGCCCTTAGTTAACCATAGGGAGAGCAATGAAAAACTAAACGTATTAAAAATCATATAGAAGCCTTTAAAATTAACGTCACTTGCAAGTGCACAACTAGAAAAAAGATATTGATAATTAGTGGCGCTTGCAAGTTGTGTTCCATTATAATATTTTGAGTATTTCTATTGCATTCTCCTAATAAGCTATCTATTAGGCCCGAGGGTGAGCAGCAAGAAGGAAGGATGATTTTTCATAAAAGACAATATCAATATAGGAAGAAGCAAAACACGACCAGGATATACACATATAGCAAGACAAAACATTGAAAGTAACGGACCACTGAACTAATGCTCAATTATTACCAACTTCCACCTCTCTTCTTCAATACCTTCATTTGGATCACCATCACCAAACACAAACGAAAATACCTACAAAAGATCGAGAAAAAGTGTACTAGTTCATTGTCCACGCCAATAAACAATTAGCATATATGAAATGCAAAATTACTATTCGGCTTACAGATTCAATGAAATTCATTCCATTATCTTCTTTTCGAACTCGCCGCCTCCTATAGTAATATGGATCCCAATACCTAAACGAGAAGTTCATAAGTAAAGAGAAAGCATGTCCACAGAGTTGTCATACCACATTTCTATTAAACTGAAAGACTGTCATGTGGCCAGGAATCTATGTTGCAGAGAACGAAATGTATTTTGAAGGTGCTTCTACTGCAACAAGCAGTGCCGGTCACGAATAGAACCTTGACCATGGAACTTCCTTTCTTATTGTTCCACGAACTAGCCACCCACATTCTTTTTTAACAACTAAATTCGTTGTGTGTGTTTATAGACGGTCTCCAAAATTTTGGAGGATAAACGGCAATCATAAGGTCCGAGACGACTCATATTATAAATTTCTGTCACGTTTATATATAAGAAGATTACTAATACAAATTGCCACAAGCTAGTTAACTTGACTGTAAATAAATTTCGAAGATCAAGCAGCATTAAGATCATGCAATGCCATAACATTTACCATTGTGTGAGCAAGCCAATGATACATCTTACACCACAATAAAAGTATAGGATTCAGTGAACCCTTTTTATAATAAAGGCGAAGGATCTTTTGCATTGAGCATGCAGGTACTTGAAGCTGGCATGGTGAATTGGTGGCAACAAACACTAAATAAATGAAAAGTCAACCAACATGTAAATAACGAGCCCTAAAGGATGAAAAATGGTAAATTTCTTGTTAGTTGACAAACTAATCAATCAGCCAACCTTTAAGATCATAGCTTCTGGCAGTAGTTCCTCATATAGGATTCACATTTGCTATATCAATTCAATCCTACACATTTAAATGAGATGTACAATCTTTGCAATGACAAAAGATGATAAACTTTATAGTGATTGTATTTATTCCTACAATCCTACATATCAAGTCATCCCTACCCAACATAAGGGTGGAAGCTGACTAGATATAATATAACTTCGTATCTTATCTGTCAATTACATAAATACGGACAACGACAAGGTAGACCAAACGAACCCCCCATACATCCCACTCGAAAGTAGGGTCTAGGGTGGGATATACACAGACATCTCCTCCACCCCACAGGGTAGAGTGGTTGTTTTCGTGAATATGAACAACGTCCAGGTACTTGTATAGTTGTATATATACAAAAATGAAAAAACTACATATTTTATATCAATTTAAATTTTAGAAAAAAGGATATCTGGCTCCTGGACACAAAACTCCCCTGCTATCTGATATAGCAACATCCCACGTTACCTTCTCCATAAATATAAATTTTATGATATATTATTATGATCTGGATGCATTTATTTATGTGTTATAATTATAATTGACATCTGCCTTTTAGAGGATACACCTTTATTTGCACCAAATTCAGCTCGGATATGCCCCAATATTTAGTGGGTGCAAAGACAATCAGGGAAAAGAGAATGACAATCTGGGAAGTCTAATATTTGCAACAAATTACAATCCCTAACCAGAACAAACTTGTTGACAATTTATAATCGTCCTGTACTACTGCACGAATAGAAATCACAAGAATTGTGAATGAAACCTTACCAAAACAAATCTGCTGGACTAAGATAGAAAGAGAATCCCGAATCAAAAGATCTTCCTCTGCGTCTTCCTCGATTATCTTCTTCACTGTGATTATCAATATTATATGAACCGTCTTAATGAAAAACATCAATGATAAAGGTAAGAGCATGATCATTAAGATAACAGAAATAGACAGAACCAATTACCTACTACTCGAAATAATAGCAATGATTGTTGTATAAACAATAACAATGGAAGCAATTAATGCTGTTCCAAAAGTAACCCTGATCAAGTATTCAGCACCAGACTGTAAAATCACATTTGGAATGAAATTGTAAGTTTTGGGCATCATATTGATCCCTCAACTACAGCGCATATAAGAAGAACTACTTAGGAATTGCGATTACATACCTTTGCCTTCTCAAACAGAGGTTCCAATTTTATCCTAAGCGACTTGGCTGCAAGGTTTGTACGATAATCTTTTGGAAACACATAGAGAACATCACCTTCGTCCGAAACCTGTTGAAATCATCTTCAAAATGATTGCACTCACCACATCAAAAACTCTAATGACCATTCTAGATGATAGATTCATGTATGTCCATTCCAGTAACAAACTCAAATAAATAAATAAAACGCCTAGAATGTTAAGAAGAATGATTTATAGACATTATTCCACTAGCAAGAACAAAGCATGTGCTCAATGGAAACCCAAAAGTGATGATGATCATGAAGATGACCACCCTTTTCATACATTAAAGAATTCCCTTCATCCCATGAAAGTTGAAACAATGTTCATTTTTTGGATGTTCCATGATAATTGCAACACCTATGCTAACACTGTCTATTAGCTCACAAGGCAATTGTTGGAGAAGTATTTATCATACTGATTTTGTTCCACAAGATGTACTTAAATTTAAAACTATACGTTTCCCCTTATTTAATATTAACGGTACCCCAACCAACTTAGCGATTTTGTTTGCTTTGCCCGCAAGTCGTAACCTGGGCTCGCAGTTTTAAAATGTGTTATAATAGTTGGGAGGGTTACTCACTATAAATACCCAATATCCTCTTTCATTGGAGATGTGGGATCATAAACGACTACCTAAACATATAGGTAGTGCTTTCAAGACATTCCCATATGTCAATGCTTGCCGATCTAAGGCTTCTAAGTTTAATATTCTAACTGATGAAGGATGATTTCCTAACCTGCTTCTTTCCATAAATCAATAATACGCTTAATAGTTGAGGGCCTAGTCGTTGAAGCTGATATACTCTATGACTGCTTAATGTTTGTCTAATTAACTTGATTCAAGGTTGAGAGAGGAAGAATCTTGACCACACTGCGGCAAAATGAAGTTCAGTACAGAAAAGCTTATTCAATGAACATTATCAGGACTTGTAAAGACAAACTGAATGTCTTACTAAAAGTTTAGAAGCTTGAACTATTACTAAGAAGTTTATGGCACTTTGGAGTCAAATACAATTCTGGATTTCTGCCCAACATATACCTGGTTCAACTTGAATAATGGAATTCATATTTATTGGGTAAACCCATAGAGAGGGATAAGTCACTTTTAACTTCTTCAAATTTGTGTGTGTATGTTTTACTGGATGAAGCTTTTTATAATTGAGCTGTATGAACTACTTTAGAAACACAGGAACTACCCATATGTAAATTTGTTAACATACCCATAGCAAAAACAAAACAGTTTTACCTCCATGAGGACATTTTACAATACCCCTTTCCATCTTCTGTTCTTCTTTAAGTAACTACTAACCACCTTTGGCGATTTAATTGGTGAACATCAACAATTATAAACTTAATTTAAAATCTTCAAGCAATGATCGCATACAGCAGCTAGTACAGTTACCGATCCTCCTTTTGGTCGAGTGGTACTGAACCCAAATCAGAGGATTCAGGTCTCAATACATAATTAACGTATTCACCCATAAAAAAAAGAAAGACGCACAGTAGTTATACCTCCAAGAAGCCATTAGTATCAGCCGCAAGGGCCTGTAAAGCCTTTTGAGCTTCAGTCAACTTAATCCCAGCCTTACTTGCCACATCACCAACTGTCACCCTCTTTCCACACTTATCCACAGCGTCCATCGTCCGCTTCCTCACATCCGCCGACAATTTATCGCTCTCAATTACCTTCCCTGGCCTAATCCTCGCGGTCGCTTCCACCGACGGAACATTGAAACCAGCCCTTATTTCAGATACAAAGCTTCTACTATTACTATTACTACCACTATGGTGTCTCTCAAATCTCAATAGTTCCCTATGGAAAACATCATTATGCGCCCTAAGAGAGTAGTGAAATTGGGAGGAGGGTTTAAGGGAAAAGATTGATGAGGGGTTTGGATGAGATTTAGGTGTTATGGTGAAGCAGGTGGATATGGAGGCCATAATTCGATGATGATAGCAAGGTTATCAGGTTTTTGCCATGGAAAATGGGTGAGAATTTTGGGGGTTTGAATCTTTGTTATTCGTCTGTTTACAAGGTTTTGGTTGGACGAAGAGGGTTGAAGGTTCAACGAGTTTGCGGATAGGATTGTTGGTGACGACCAGAAAGCAGCCGAGGCCTTGTGTTCGTGATGTTCCCATTTTTTATACATATTTATTTACAGATGGTTTTATTTACAAATTTAATAAATTATATAAATCAATTTATTGAGATATTTATAAGAAGACGAGGTTCATTTATAATGATCTGGATATCTATAGAATTCATTTATTATGATCGATACTTTATATTAGAAAATAATCAAAAAATACATCGATCTTGATGTCATATTAACTATTTAAAAACTCTTTTTTGTGTTTAATTCAAATTTTTATTATAATTTAATTATATCTAATAGTGAAGTAATTTATTTTTGACTTAACAATATAATTTTTATAAGGATAATGATTCTGTTAAAACTCAATTATTATCCTAATTATATTTTAGATTTTTTATATTTAAATGAGATGTTTATCCTATATTTGATTATGTTTATCTGCAGTTAGTTATACGGATTTAAAATAGAGCTTTAATAAGTCGTACTTACGCACAATTTACTTGTAATCTTAAACTTTAAGTAATATACATTAATAAACAGTACTTTATGCATAAATAATGGTTTTTAAAAGTTTTTGTCAAATACTTTATAATATAATATAGATATAGATAACGACGAGCATTGTGCTTTTTTGTTTGCTTAATAAAAGTCATATGATTTTATTAGTGTTAAAAACAAAATTACTTGACCCAGCAATTTCACTTCCCGATCTGGTGATCTCATTCTACTTCTACTTTTTATATGTGTTTTTGATCTGGTTTTCTCCACTTTCTAATTGAGAGATCCACCATTCATCTCAATTAATGGCTTTTCTATCTTCAGTTTAAAGTTATTTAGCTCTAAATTTTAATTAATTTTAGATTTCAAATTTTAATGCTATTATGTTACGACTCGTTTGAAATTGCTTACTTGACTGGCTAATCGAATAAGTTAATGAATTATATATTTATAATGAATCTATCATATGTGATTGATGTTCATAATCTATGGATTTGAGTTCTTGAATTTCAGTTTTATATTCACTTTAGTTTAGGGTTGATTTTCTTACACTTGAAGTTTCACCATAAAATGAGACCGGCCTGTTTTCGTGAGACCTGTGAGACCATTTTTTTTTTACACTTGAAGCTTCACCGTAAAATGTTGTGAATGTAACCTTTACAGTGTTTTTGCTATGAAGGTTCGACTTTTCTTTTACCTTAATGACATTTTGCTATAAAGTTTCAAGTGTAAAAAAGTGGTCTCACATGTCTCACGTGAACCTGACCCTATATACATGTGAATTATTAAATATAAATAAGTAATATATAAGAGTTTGATTTATTGATAATTTTGGTTTCAAAACGTTCGAGTCAAATGTTTTTCTTTTCTTGTTAAATAAATTAGTAAATTTTTTTTTTCTGATTAACTTAGATATTCAATCCGCTATGCGAGCTGACTAATCCCAGGACGACCACCTGCTTTGCAGATAATCCGGAGTCACTGCATTTGAACCTCCGTGGCCACAAGGGATTATTATTCCTCCTTGGATTTGAACCTGTGACCTCCTGTTACTTTTGACATTTGAAACCAAACTCAAACTAATCAGGCACCACCCTTGTAGTTAGTAAAATTTATTTTTCATCTTTGTTGTAACATATGAGTATACAACTAACGTAATGTGTATATTCTAGAATGATAATTTTTTCATATTTGAAGCCTAAAATTTATAAATCAGTGAACCAACTTGGTCCAAAGTCCAGACTGATAAAGCCATGAACCGAGTTTTATGTGGTTGGTTAAAAAGAAAAAAACCAATTTTGTTCACTTGGTTTGATCTGTTTAGAAAAGGAAACCGATTATTAAGAAAATCGAGCTCCATTTATCTGGTTTGAAAAAAGACCGGTGAACCAAGCTTGTAAGAACTAGGGATGGAAACGGCGTATTGCGTCCCAATCCCCGCACCAAATTAATCCCCAACGGGTTCGAGGGAAAGGAACCCCCGACAGGTTCGAGGAACCTGTTGGGTACCCGTTTAGTAAAAAAAAAACGATAAAAACAATATATTTTAAAATTGAAATAGTTAATTATCACTACATTAATATGCAATATTGAAAATCAAATATATTTATCATCTAATAATAAAGGTATACACATATATTTATTTATACACACCCTATATACATGTATTAAACAAAATAGAAAAAACTAATCAAGGTCGGATTAGGGGCGGGTAATGTCATCCCCGACCCCGCCTCGAACCCGATTCAGGTATGAAAACAAATCTTCGTCCCTCCCTATTACCAGCCAAAACGGGGAATCCCCGCCCCGTTGGGTACCCGTCCCCACGGTAAAATTTCCATCTTTAGTAAGAACTGATGACGTTATGAACTGACATTTATCTGGTCTAGTCCAATCCATAGAACCTGACACAAATGTTCATCTTTAACTCAAAAACAAGAATCAAATATATCTGTTTTTGATATTACTAGCATTATTAATAGATTCTTCTGTTAACATGAGGAAACAAAATTATTTCATTCATTTTGAGTAGAAAATCTCACTCAACAGATTTTAGGGAGAAAACCATACTGAATTGTAAACTACAGATAAATGAACTATAAACTATAAAGATAAAAACCATAATTTAAAAAACATAAGAACGAAAATAAGAATTTTCAACAAACAACACAGACACGAAAAACTTACAACCATGAGTTTCAACACATAAAAGCCAGTCAAACCAATTGGACTAACCCAATGATAGATCCGTTTATGCCCATTTCATATCAAACACAAGACAAGGGTAGAATGGTAATTATATGTCATCCGAATGATTTAGAGATGTTTCCAAACAATCGATTTCTAACACACACTAAATTATCCAGATTCTAGTAATCATTCTGATCAATTAATCATTCTAAAGCTACCAACAGCCCCTTAGAATAAGTCATCCACTAAATTTCAACCTTTGGCCCTAGTGGTTTGTAGGTCTTTTAAACATTTTGACATGATGGCACCAAAAATAGTGAAGACCAGTGGATGATGGCTTAATTTGCACCTTTGCTTCAATGCACCTAGTGAGATTTTGAGAAGAGTTACTCTTTGGCCACCACAGTACGATGAAAGTTGTAAGCTGTGTTCAGGGGAGAGTTATTGTCTATCGTTCGCCTCTATGGTAGAATCAGTCGGGGACCTGAAAGGCGGTGGTTTACCATACGACGGATGTCAGCGGTTCGAGTCCGCTTATCTCCAACTCGTGAACTTAGCCGATACAAAGCTATATGGTAGCACCCAATTTTTCCGATTCGGCGGTTCGATCTATGATCTATTATTCATGGACATTGATAAGATCCATCCATTTAGCAGCACCTTAGAATGGCATAACCTTAAAATAGCACTAGTTTGTAAGCCAAAGTTGCTAGCTCCTCTTGTTTCCCTTTCTTTTCTTTCTTTTTGCCTCTTCCTTGGTGCAACTCAAAATGTTGATTCTTGGCAAATAATTTGTCCATTGATTTATAAAAACCTGAAATAAATATGAAAATCTTAAGATAGCTTGCAAGCCTAGCACATAGTAATAGTTGCTTGAAACAAGACAAAGAAAAACAAAGGGTTCGTTCGGTTTGTAGGATTTCGTATTCGGTTTAAAGAAAAGTTAGGAATTGTAATCCCACAAACATGGGATTTAGACATCCCATGAAATGGGGTTCTTAAATCCCATGGAGGTAGTTGGTATTTCTTGGGATTTCATAGGATTTGTTTGTAATAATGTTCTAAAATATGTTAAAGAAAACACTTATTTTGTAATAATTGATTAATTAAAAGGTAATTTAGTTATTTTGATGATTATTTGTAATTTGTTTTTATGAATTATATAAAGAATGGAATTGAATTCCATTCCATATTCTACAAATCGAACACATTCCAAATATTCCTTCAAACTAAAGGGGGCAAAAAGTATTTATGTGGTTTTACACTGTCTAACATTATTTTTTGTTAGGACTTAGGACTCTTATCATATGGAGTACTTTGGGAATCTAGTAGCTCATACGAACATACAATCTGGTTTCTATTATAGGGCATTTTAGCAGAAAAGGCAAGCAAACATAATTTTAAAAGGCAGCATTTGATGTATGTTAGAATCACCATACCCAATAAATCTTGGTGTTTTTGAATAACTAAGCCAAACATACCCAGTAATTCCCACTCAAAAGTAGGCTCAGGAAGGGTTAGAATGTACGGAAACCTTTCCTCTAACCCATGGGATAAAGAAACTGTTTCCGTGAAGACTCATGACCTGCGAAAATGTTTTATGAGACAAGATTTGCCATTTTGAAGGTTGAGAGGATTTTGAATAGAAAAACATAGGGAGAGCAAAAGGCATTGGAGGAAAAAGAAACTAGAAAAAGAGTATGCAAGCATGCAACAAAGACAGTACAGTAGTTGTAGATATGAGTGCATGTAACGATGTTATTTCGGATGGGAGCTTCTTATAAGAAAAAAGTGTAGTTCTTGTAAAGTAGAAAAGAGTGTGTGCAAACATGCAACAAAGACAGTATAGTAGTTGTAGATATGAGTGCATGTAACGATGTTATTCGAATGGGAGCTTCTTATAAGTAAAAAGTGTTCCTGTGAAGTAGAAAAAAAGTGTGTGCAAGCATGCAACAAAGACAGTAGTAGATATGAGTGCATGTAACGATGTTATTTCAGATGGGAGCTTCTTATAAGTAAAAAGTGTAGTTCTTGTAAGTCGAGTTCTTATAAAGGCAATAACATGTTTCAAATTCTTGTACAAGAACCTTCGTAGTTGGTACGTACCTCGATTATTGTGTTAAATATTATTTTATTAGTTCATTGAAAAAAATAAATGGGACCCACAAAAAGGAGGTTCTTGTAAATGACTACCATTGTGGAGTTTTACAGAGTTTCTTAGTTTGTTGAGTTGATAATGATCTGGTAAGAATAAGTGCAAAAAAGAGGTTCTTATTAGTCACTCCATTGAAGTCTGGAGATGCCCTTAGGTTTTATTGCTTGTGAGTATGAAATTACAGTCACCTACAACCTAAAACATATAGTTTTTGGCACATTGTGTGTCAAGTTGTCGACTTGTCCATAATTCCAATTAACATCTCTTTTCGTTCTTGTTTCTGGTTACCATCATTTCCCTCGTTCTCCATTTTACGGGTCTCATCACCTTTCTTGTCAATTTTTTCTATGTTTCAAAGTGCCTGTTCTTTTTCTGCTGCCTACCACTTAATAATCTTGGCTCCTTGTTCATTTTCGTCAATACTTTTGCACAAACCGGGCGTTAACAGTATAAGCCGCTCTACCCTTTGGGATACAGTATATACGTCCCACACCCCATGCCTATTAGACTACTATGGATGGGATTTTTCTGCATGTAAAGCATAGATGAATGCTAAAAATTTATGTAAACACTTGAGGCAGATATAAATCTATAGGTAACTAGGTTGACGTCTAAACTAACCATGTCAAAAAGGTGAGCAAAGCTAACTAGATTTCAGAGATTATCTCAGTCTGAACTGACAAAAAGGATAAAGGGATCAGATCATTATATCAACATGGAGATCAAAGAGCATGATATCTTCAAAAGCACACTGAGTAAAGAAAGTAGCCATACATACCAAGTTATGTTGAAACTAGCTGCTCGAATCGAATCAACCACCAGCACCTTCTGAGTCTTCCAGTAATCCAAGGACTGAGCTTTTGGTCTCCCAACACCATCACAGTCCACTTACCAAACCAGTTTTCCTGCCATTTCAATATTTTATTCGAAATTCTTGCTCCTGCAGTGAAATTTTGTGGTCGCGAGATCACACAACTGGGATCAATGAGGGTGCATTTGGTATGCAAACGGGCATGGACTCGAGTGGCCAGAATGGGTAGGTGGGTGAAATAATTGTCGATGGTTTTAGGGTTTTAATTTGATATGTGTAGTTTGGTCATTTATCAATCTTGTCCCATTTTTATCTTTGTTCCACCTATGGGACAAAAAAGATGCATTTTGACCCACTCATTCCCTGTCCTGTCCCAGTCTATTGTCACATCAAACTATCAAACTGGGACAAGATTTTGTTCTGTTTTGTCCCGTATTGTCCTAATCAATCTTGAACTTCCCTCTACAGTTTGATAGGTAGGATGCCGTTTTCTTTCTGAAGAAAGCCTAGATACTTGGTTCCCTCTAAAATACAGTATAGAAATCGAATTACCAATTTTTAGCAGCTTATGCATCACATACATCGATCAGTATTACCATCAGCTGTTAATCAGAATGGTTTACACCCTATGAATCAAAACACACAATATATATGCATTTGTTTGAATAAAAACTGGATCTTTACTGCTAAAGGAACAGTTTCATCCATTACCAAGCTTTTTCATCAGCCTATTATAAGTAACAATATCAGGGATGAACTCCTTATCCAACATCTCATCAACTATAACCTCTCCCTCCTTCCTTTTACCTTCCTTTGAGTATCCAGATACTAATATGTTATAAGTTACCTCATCAAGACATAACCCTTTCTTCGAAGCCAACATCCTCAGCTTGTTTGCCTCCACCGTTCTTCCTGAATTACACATATCACCAAGAAGACAGTTAAAAGTCACACTATCTGGAATAATACTTTCTTTAAGCATCTTATCCATCAACCTAAATGCCGCTTCAGTGTTCCTAACCCTTCTTAAACCTTCAATCAAAGTAGTACAAGTGATGGTGCTTGGAGCATTTCCTTTCTCCCATACCTCATCTACTATTAATCCTGCTTTAACCACATTCCCTTTATCACAAAGCCTCTCAATTAAGCCAAAGTAATCGAACTTTGTTGGTAAAACTCCTTTTCTTGAAATATCAAGCAAGAGATCACAAGCTTCAAAAACCCTCCCTTCTTTGGTAAGCCCATCAAGCAAAATCTCACAAGTTACAACTGATAAACCGCACCCTAATTCGATCATCTCATAGGCCATTCCTATCCCTTCTTTAAACTTCCTCTCCCTAAAAAATCCCTTGATCAAAGTATTAAAAGTGACCACATTTGGAACACAACCCTTTGCCCTCATTTCCTTAAACACCTCTAATGCCAACCCAAATTTCGAATTGCGAAAGTACCCATTAATCAATATGTTAAAAGTGACTACATCAGGCTTAACCCGATCCTTAATCATCCTCCCATAAAACTCCAAACCCTTTTCGAATTTCTCATGCTTGACAAAACTATGAATCATAATATTGTATATGGCTACATCAGGTTTCCCATCAATTAGTTTACGCATATTATCAAACGCATGGAGTGCATCATCAAACCTACCGACGTTACAGAAGGAATTAATAGCGAAACGGAAGATGGGTTCAGTACGAGAGCAAGAAAATATACCGTCGGAGCAAGGGCACGGATTGGAGACGATGAAATCAAGGACGGGTGAAAGGGAGTCGAGGCGGTGAGTGATGGCAAGGGTACGGACCATCCATTCATAGGTGGAGTGGTCGTGGCGAAAGGAGTCGAGTGTGGCGGCGTGGCGGAAGACGTGGAGGTCTAGGKGAGCGAACTTGGGATGGTGGTGGAGGTGGTTTTTCAGGAAGGAGAGGAGGTCGTTAGGGGTGAGGTTGCTTTTGAGGTGAGTGTTGATGAAATTGGTGAGTTGGGATTGAGTGGTTGAAGTAGAGGAGGGTAGGGAAAGGGTTGGGAGAACAGTGAGTGATGTATCCGGTGGCGGTGGTGGGGGTGGGGGGAAGAGGTTGGTGGTAGTTGGCGACGGAGGAGGACGGCAAAGAGGTGGTGGTCTTGGGAGCTTTTTGGAGGCCATTTCTTGCCAAGTGAATCGATTAAACCAGTTGGTTTTGTTTTACGGTGTGTCTAGGACGGCAAAGAGGTGATGGTTTTGTTTTAGTCTGACATCGATCGATCATGTTTTTTGGTATTTGAATAAAGAAAAAAAATTGTTTATATCAATGCCAAATCAGTAATAAGCTGTTTTTGATAAGTTAATTTTTTTTGACTTATGAAAAACTGCTTATTATCAGTTTATAATTTTAACCATGTTTTATTTAACTTCGGTTTGATACCACATAAGTTAATAAACACTTTTACAAAAAAAACATAAATTGTTTTAAATAAGCAATCCCAAACACCCTCTATATTATAAAACATTTGATAAAAACACTCTTAAATACTATTTTTTTATG